GCCTCCTCGGCACGGCCACCCCGGGGGGGCTGGGGAGGGCGCCAGGCGCTAATTAGTGCTGGGGTTAATTAATGGTCATTCTGCTTGTAGCTTTTTCAGTGTGTGTTTGGTTACTGTCTCTGGGAACCGTGTTTGAACAGATGGCTCTGTGTTACCGGGAGTGTGTGTACTTCTGTAGTCTAGTTAGGTGCTCTGCCAGAAAACCACCACTATACATACCTATAAATATATACATATATAGTCTATTTTAAGTTAAAAACCAATGAGACGAACGGGCGGTGTGGCCCCGGGCCCCCCGTCCCGCCGGGGTCACCTCCTGCCCTATCCCCACCCGAAAGCTTCTCTCTCTGCTCATTCAAAGGCATTGGGTTTTTAATTGATTTTCTTTAATTTATTTTTAATTTCTTTGGGTTCTTTTTTTTTTTTTTTTGTACAGAAGAGTTGGAAAACTAAAAAAAAAAAACAAAAAACCAACAAAAAGACGATTTGTAAGATATCGTGCGTGTGACTCCTTGTAAAATATTTTCAAATGGTTTATTACAGAGACTCAGTTATTAAATAATGTTCATATTTTCACTTCACAGGCGGTGGCTGCGTCATTGCCCGGGGCCGTGGGCACGGCTGGGGGAGCACAGCACGGGGGGGGCACAGGATATCGGGGGACTCTGCCAGGCGGGACACTGCCCTTACGGTGCTGCACCTCGGGGACAGGGACACGGGGCAGGGACAGCGCAGAGCCTGGGCTCACAGAGCCCGCTCGCTGCACAGAGGGGCTGGGGCACAGCGGGGGCTCAGCCCCCCATCTTCCCTATCTCCGCAGGACCGTGTCACCCTTCCCATGCCCACTCCATGCCCGTGTCCCCCTGTTGCAGGGGGTCAATGTCCCCGAGTGCCCTCCGTGTCCCCATTTCTCGGGGTTTCTGCCGCCCCCTGTACGCACCCCCATGACTGTGTCCTTCATGCCCTATAACTGTGTTCTCCCACCCCTCTCCCCCACGTCCCGCCGTGTACTCCCGCCACGTCCGTGTGACTCGTTTGTCCCATGTCCTCCCGTTTCGTGTCCCTGTCTCCCCTCCGTGTCCGTGTTCCCCCGTGTTCCCCGTCCGTNTGGCCACGCTCTGCTTGCCCAGGTCCCTGTTCCAGCAGTTCCTGTACAGCCTCACCTACAGCAGCTGGTTCCAGACGGGTCAGTGCTGGGGAGCTTTGGGCTGGGGGTGGGCAGGGCTGGGGGGTTGGTGGCCTTTGTCCCACAGCGCTGTGCTGGCACAGAGGAGGTGGTGGGGGACGGCATGGAGGCCAGGGAGACGAGCTGCATCATGAAGCAGACCCAGTACTACTTCAGCACCGTCAACGCCACCTACAACGCCATCATCGACTGCGGCAACTGCTCCAGGTGGGTCTGTCCCTACTGTCCCACCCCTGGCAGGGCTGGGGACACCCCCGAGGCTGCCTGTGCCAAGGTGCCCGTGCAGCAGCCTCTGTGGGGCAGTAGGAGATGCTGTGCAGCATTTGGGGGGACTGTGATACCCACAGGGGGACAGAGAGGAACAGTGGTGTCCCCGTGGGCTGTGGGTGATGGCAGAGGGTCCCCAGGGATCCTCTGGGTGGAACCAAGCCCTGGAAGGTCATCAAGGCCATCAGGGCTGAGTCCCTGGGCAGCCCCTCAGCATGGGGATGGGCAAGGAGGTGGAGATGAGGATGGGGATGGAGGCCAGGGCAGGGAATGGGGATAGGGACAAGGCTGGGGACAAGGATGGGAATGTGGACAGGCATGAGGTCAGGGATAGCGATGAAGCTGGGGACAAGGATGGGAAGGAGGACAGGGACAGTGATGAAATTGGGTCTGGGGAGATGCTGCTGGTTCAGCAGGGTTGGCACTGGCAGCTGAGGGAGATTGGGGCACAGGGTAAGGGGGATCCCACTGCCTTTGCACCCCCAGGCTCTTCCATGCACAGAGACTGGCCAACACCAACCTGCTCTTCGTGGTGGCTGACAAGCCCATCTGCAGCCAGTGTGAGTCTGTCAAGCTGCTGCAGGCAGAGGTAAGAGGTATCCTTTGATGGCTCAGCTGCATCCCACAGGGGTGTGGTGGCAGCGAGGTGGGGGGACATGTGGGGTCTGTGGGACAGGCAAGGGGGAAGGACCTGTGGAGATTGGTGGGGGTGGAGGGAGCTGGCTATAAGGGGCTGGGGGTGCCGTAGGAGCCCCCCCTGCCCTGTTCCTGGTGGTTTCCTTGACCTGCCAAGCTCCCCCGAGGGACCCCAACCAGTGTGAGCTGGTGGACAGGCCCCGCTACCGGAAAGGCCCCCACATCTGCTTCGACTACAATGCAACAGTACGTGGGGCAGGGGGGCTGGGCTGGGCTGGCCCTGGGAGGGGTGGGGGTATCCTCTGGGGGGGCAGAGCCATGGGGGGGTTCCCAGAGGGTGCTCCACTGGGGAAATCCGGGCAGTGGGTTCCCCTGAGCAGGGAATGGAGCCATGGGAGGATCCCAGGGGAGCCCTGAGGGGAAGTGGAACGGTGAATGTCCCCCCTGAGGGGAGCAGAGCCATGGGGGGTCCCCCATGGGGAACAGGGCCATGAGGGGATCACCCAGAGGGGTGGGGGGACCCCTCTGATGGGGGTTTGGAGCCCCGGGAGGACAGGGAGAGGGCTCAGGAGCCCTGGGGTATTTCCGGGGGAGATCACGGCTCTGAAGGGTCCCTGGGGAGAGCAGCAGCAGGGGTGGCCCTGGGGCTGTGCTGCAGGGCAGGAGGCTCTCAGGGAGGTGGCAGATGCCCGTGCTAGGG